ACAGCGTGGACCATACCAAACAACTGTGAACAAATCGATATTGGGTGCACCCAACATTGAAAAACTGAGTGCTCTGATACCATATTAGAAAGGATATTGGGTATAACGCAACCAACAAAATCGGCTTGTTATGAAAGGATTGCCCTCACCTTATTAAGTGGATCTTGTAAATATTATCAGCCAATGTGAAACTCTAATATTTGTTACATTTCAGCTAAAGCCTACGTCAACGGCACTATAGACAAAATTCAGTGGGATAAAAGTACGATTCTCTAAAATACTCATAATTAAAACACTAAGAAGGACAAATACTTTTAGCCTTTAGGTAGTTTGCCACTTGGTCGACATCTTAAGTGCATTTGGATACTTATAAGTTCTATCTTTATAAGAAAATATCAAAAGTTGAATATGAGATATGAATATGATTCAATTGGATCAACTTGCCAAGTATATATGACTTTAACAATATTTTAGTATGATAATAACTTTTATTTCTAAGTCGAAAACATAAATTCTTTTTTCTCTATTCCGTCTTTCTCCTTTGATCAAATATCAATTTTCTCACCCCCGGACATCGTATTCTATTTGTGGACGTCAATTATAATATAAAATTTTGAGCTAACTAAAAAGAACCATATTAGTTTCTCGAAACACAAAAACTTTAACAAGTACAAAGATCTACAAAGTGATGTTTGATGAGAAGCACTAAACTTGGTGGAGCTAGGCCACTTGAACCAAACCCTAATTCATTATTCTTCGTATTAAGACAAAGATTTATTACTTTTGTACTATATTAAATAAATAATTATGCTGGGTACAAAATTATTCTATTTGTTAGTTACATTTCCACATACACAAGCATATATAGCTGGATTAAATCAGTAACATTGAGTAAGCCAATTTTGCTTCTAATTTGTGGTTGGTGACGTCAAATCTTTCTAGCCATTTGTCACTATGATGTAATATATATATCTCTGTTCTAAAAAGCTCGTTTAGACGGCGCCTAGGCTCGAAGCTTGATGAAAACGTCTCGCTTTGAGGCTAAATGGTAATTAAGCGGTCAACGACAATGTTGACCGCTCGTTAACCGCTTAAAGCGCACCAAGGCACACCTAGGTGCCCTATATGGCTAACGCGCTTTCGCCTTGGAGGCCCAATTTTCCCTCCTTTTTAAATGTAACCCATAGCAATTAAAATTATTATCAAGTAGTGAAATTATACAACTCATAATAAAAGTGTTTTGAATTTATCAATGATTCAATAGTGAAAACGAACACACGTAATCTAGGCTTCTGCAATTAAGAAGTCGTCTGAAACTGTAATATGAGCTTCTGTAATTAATCGAAAAT